TATAAATGATGGAAGGGTTGTATTCTTTTGTATGGTCATCCTGCTAGATTTTGTTTACAATGCATCACAGCTCCTGTGTAATCAAAAGGCATAGGGAAGCTATAATTGACTTCAGCATAGGCCTTCCACTGTTGATGCCTTAAGTCCTAGGTTGTAGGAATTACTATCATTTTCTATAGTTTTTTTTGCAAATTCCCATAATAGATTCATAGATTTTTAAGCCAAAGGCACTATAATGATTATCTAGTCTGACCTCCAATATAATAATGGCCATAGAACCTTAACCTGTAATTTGTACACCTAGCCAACAATTTCTGTCTTTTAGAAAGACACACAGTTCTGTTTTAAAGAATTCAAGTGATAGGTAAGCCTCTAAACCCATGGGTAAATTGTCCCAGTGGATAACTACCCTCCTTGTTAGCTACCTTCACACTCCTAACTCCTGGTTTAAAGTTATTTTGGAGATGTTACTAGAAACTCCTTACACCATTTGGCCCACTATATTTTTTTCTGCTTTGGAACAGTTAAAAGTCCTGCCAGGACTGAGCCAAATTAAACTGATAAAAGAGCTCATTCTCTTAGGACAGAAGAGTTGAAAATTAAAAGGAGAGTTATATGGTGTTGGAGATATGTTTTAAGGATTTTTTAAAACCACGGTCCCTTGTTCCAAGAGGAAAGAGAAAAAGAGAGTTCTTTGTAACAGATTTATTTCTATTCAGGGACTAATTTAAATATTTGGATGCCCAGTTAGCTGCTCCATTATCATCTAAATTATTTCCATCTTCAAGATGGAAATTATACAAACAGAAAACACAGTGATATTGTTTCTTTTGGCCTATATTTGGTCTCAGTCATATTGGTATATTATCTGCCTCCATTAAAGGCAATGAAATTACATCAGTGAAAAAGGCCCTTAATTTCAAGATATTACAATAATTACAGGTCATCATTGCCAACATAAAAGATATCTGTTTCATTATTTTCTGAAGTTTAACAATTAAAAGGACCATAATAAAAGATCATGCCAATTAAGTGAAAAGTTGTCACTGGATAATAGTTTAATGTAGAAATAGGTAATATGCTCATTTTTTGATTCAGAAAATTACTATTAAGATCTTTGAGGATCCTAATGTTTAGAAAGTAAATTTTAAAAAATCTGAAGTAAGTAAACCATCAGGGCTTTCTCTTTTTCTCCAGGCTTTGTGGGCCAGTTGGCTGATCATGTGCTAAACCCTTTGGGGGTTGCCAACTGAGTCCTAAAGTAATAGGACGTATAGCCACAAATCCACCTCTCTTTGAGAAGCTCATTACTAGAACAGCTGTAATTGGTGGAAGCCTTACAGTTAGATCTGCTGCAGAAAGTCAAACAAGCCAGTTATCTGCTTCCCCTTAAAAGATATCCTTGCTTCTAAGGCCTCCCTTAGTAGTTCCACGTACAAGCAGAATGGAGGGAGACTGCCAAATTGAATACATTCAAAAAGCCAAGAAACATTCAAAAATCCTCCTATACTCCACAGACTGAGGTAAGAAACTAATAGGGAAAGAGACCATTTTTTTCTGCCAAACAAGTTCAATATTCATAGTTTTCTATTATAACAGACAGTCCATATGTTATTCTAACTACTCTAGCTGATGCACAAGGCTGCAGAGTAGAATTATACTGTGTTATGAATTAGCTGGTACTGTCTGTTAGACTTGGAAAAGAGATTCTTTCTGAGTACAATTGTTCCCTACTATCTAGAGATACACACTATGTGAAAGTTGCACTGCTTAAAAAGAAAAAGAAAAATACAGAACAGAACTATGAGAAATGTCAGGATTTTGTTGGTTTGGCTAGTGGACTCTTGGTTATGATAGGCGTATATATTGCAACCTTCCTTCCCTAACTGGAGAGGTTCATTAACAAAGGCATAATTTCCCTCAAATTTTCACTGGGCATTGGAGGGGGAGGGAAAAAAGACAGCAAGGTTTCAAAAAGAAAAAAAAAAGAAGAAAGAAAGAAGAAGAAATGATTTTGTGTGAGATCCAAAACCATGTTCTTCCTATTATTGTCCATGCTCTTCCTATTATTTCATCTTCTTCCTAGCATACTCATACAACCTATTATTGCTTTCCTCAAATTTTCCTTCCTTTAACACTATCAGAAACCAAAAGATGGTTCAGTTACCAGTCTGTCACTATCTGATGATCCCCCTGCCCCAAATTAAGATTAATCCTGGCTGGCTGGTGGGGAACATTGTTAAAATGCAAAGTTTCATATAAAAAAGGTTTATGGCCTAAATGGCATTCTGGATGTCCTATGTTGTTATAGACTTAGCTGAAGCTGTATTTGGACAGCATTCTTTGAATCTTTTGCTGGTCCACTGCGCACTAAACCTTTATCACTGACCCTGCAAGCAGTTGCACACAAGCTTAACTGGAAGTACAGTAGTGGTGAACAGTCCCCCTACTACAGCAAGCAGAACACTTTTTTTTTCTTTTTTTAAAGAAAAGGTGAGATTCCTATAGGAACAAAATTACAGAACTTACAGGTGAGAGAGAGGGAAAGATAAAGTGACTTTTGTCACTTTTGTGACCTCCAAGTTCTGAGATTCTAAGGGTACCAAAGTGGCTTTCAACATACCTGCTGGGTTTTTGGTTGTAGCCATGCTGGTCTAAGGACATAGGCAGGCAAGGTTCTTTGGGTAGATGTGATAACTTTTATTAGACCAACTGAGTAGTTGGAAAAAAGTTCTTAGCAAGATTTTGGGCACTTTCAGAATCTTCTCCTATTCCTTGGAGTCTCAGAACAGCAAAGACTTCCTATGCCTGAAGAAGGGTGATTGCTCCCAAAAGCTTGCTAAGAACTTTTTTCCAATGACTCAGTTGGTCTAATAAAAGATACCACATCTACTCAAAGAACCTTGCCTTCAACATACCATTACAGCAGCAGTGCTGTCCACAATCTCCAAGATGCCCATCCTGAACTTGCCTGCTTATACCAGGCCTGTTCTCTTAGGGAAAAAAAAAACATTTAACAGCTCTACTTCTCAAGTTTGAAAACTGTCATGGACAGTTTAATTTGGTGACATGGTGAGGACAGTTATGGACAGCAAAACAGGCCAGTATAAACTGTTCATCATACTAGCAACTCGCAATTAAACTTTAGGCTCAGCAACTAACAGATGAAGGATGAGGAAGAAAGAACTGTCCCTAAAGCTGGGGTGGGCAAAATACAGCTCTTAGAAGCAGTAGATTCCTCCAGCTACTGCTGCCAGTGTTGTCACTGCCACCAGACCTGGCCCCACTGCCCAGGCATCCTGGCCTGTTCGCTGCACCCACTGCCAGTGGCGCTGGGTGGAGTGGGTAGATGGGATCTCTATGGAGACCGGACCAAGACCCCTGTGGGCAGGGCATACTCGGCTAGGTGGATGTGATGGGGCCATTTGGTAGGGAGCAGTGCTCTGGAGTAGGACTGGCGGGTGGGAGAGCAGGGGCTGGGATCACATGATGGTGACAGCGTGGGGCTGTGTGGGGTGCAGACTGCAGCTCTGTCTTTGGCTGTGGCCCCACACTGTCACCACTCCACAATCCTGGTCCCCGCCTGCCTGCTTGTCATACTCCTGGATACTCCTTTCTGCCTGCCTGCAGCCCCAACATATCCAACTAGCCAAGTGTGCCCTGCCTGCAGGGGTCCTGGCCCAGCCTCCATACAGCCCCTACCCCCATTGCAGGGCAGATGGGCCCAAGCCAGATAGGTTCAATTTCCCCCTGCCCGTCCCCCCCATGCCAGATCAGCACCACCTAACACTGCTCCCCCAGCCTGCAACAGCTTACCAAAAGTCAGGGGTGGACAAAATGCAGCCCACAGGCCAAATGCGGCCCGCCAGGCCATTCTATCTGGCCCGCAGGGCCCCTAAAAATTTTAGAAAATTAATATTTATCTGCCCTTGGCTGCCTGTCATATGGCCCTTGATGGCTTGCCAAAACTCAGTAAGTGGCCCTCTGCCCAAAATTATTGCTTGCCCCTGCCTTAAGTGGCCCTCTAGCCAAAATAATTTGTCCACCCCTGCCCCTAAATTTTTGCCAAGAAAGTCTCACTGTGGATGTTGAAAAGTGCTGTTTCACTAGTGTAAAGAGGGAAGAAGACAGACTAGACAGGATCTAAAATGGAGTAGGAGTGAAGAACACAAGGCAGCTATGGCACCTAGCATACTGAATGAGTTTATCTTCTTTTTCATGCCACTATTTCTTCAATTGCCCTTTTTACTCCCAGGTAGGAAGAGGGAATAAGGTGATGGGGGAAAGGAAAAAAAAGTTGAAGACACAAACATGGAAAAGAGATAGGAAGAAGGGAAAATGGTAACCAAAGAAAATTCAGATAAGCCTCAAGGGTCAATCTTTTCATGGTTTTATCACAATTGAACATTTTGAAAGTTTAAGGGTTGCCATTTATGGAAGGTCAGAATCAAGAAAAACTATATCATGTGTTTTGTATACTGCCCATTATCATTTTCCGGCTCACAGGCCTTAAGTATGCTTGATCCAGATCTTGGGGAATAATGGTAAGGTTTGAATGCGCTTATGTTTCTCAGCTGAAATTTCTTTTCCTCGTCAAAGGCAAATGCCCAGGTTCATATGAAAGTAGAAACCACATTTTCAACCTTGGATTTATTCAAGCTATAGCTTTTGTCTTTTAAGCTGCAGTTTTACCACACAACCCAGTACATATTTCATAAACAAGGCTTTTTCTTGTTATACCTTAAACATAAAATTCTAATGGTGGAAATCTGTTAACTCGAAAATTTCAGCCCAATAGGAATATAAAATAGTTAATTTAATGCAATGTGAAATTTAACAGTTTCTTCCCATTACCAAAACAGAGAAAAAGTAGATTTCATTTTTATAGTCTTTTGGGAAATTCCCTTAACCCATCCTATTGAAGTTAAAAAAAAATAGAGGAGTTTGAGAGGGGGGGGGG